CTGGGGGTCCCCAGGATGCGTGCTCCAGCGGTTGGTGCTGAAGTTGGGGGTGGTTTTTGGGGGGTTGGGGAGGATTTGGGGGTCTCTAGAGGGTTGGGGGTCTCAGAGGGTTGGGGGTCTCAGGGGTCTCAGGGGGTTTGGGGTGATTTTGGGGTGATTTTTGGGGGGTTTGGGGGTCTCTCACCGGGCTGGGGGATCCCCAGGACGCGCCTCCAGCGGTTGGTGCTGAAGTTGGGGGTGGTTTTTGGGGGTTTGGGGGTGATTTGGGGAGGATTTAGGGGTCTCAGAGGGTTGGGGGTCTCAGGGGGTCTCAGGAGGGTTTGGGGGTGATTTTGGGGTGATTTTGGGGGTTTTGGGGGTCTCTCACCGGGCTGGGGAGTCCCCAAGATGCGGCTCCAGCGGTTGGGGCTGAAGTTGGGGTGGTTTTTGGGGGCTTTTGGGGGAGTTTAGGGAGTATTTTGGGGTGATTTTGGGGGTTTGGGGTTGATTTTGGAGGGGATTTGGGGTTGATTTTGGGGGGATTTTGGGGGGATTTTGAGGTGATTTTGGGGGGTTTGGGGGTCTCTCACCGGGCTGGGGTCCCTCAGGATGCGGCTCCAGTTGTTGGTGCTGAAGTTGGGGGTGATTTTTGGGGGCTTTTTTGGGGGTTTGGGGGGTCTCAGAGGGTTGGGGGTCTCAGGGGGTTTGGGGGTGATTTTGGGGTGATTTTGGGGGTTTTGGGGTCTCTCACCGGGCTGGGAGTCCCCAGGATGCGGCTCAGCGGTTGGGGCTGAAGTTGGGGGTGGTTTTTGGGGGATTTGGGGAGGATTTGGGGGTCTCAGAGGGTTGGGGGTCTCAGGGGTGATTTGGGGGTGATTTTGGGGGGTTTTGGGGGTGTTTTGGGGTTGATTTTGGGAGGTTTGGGGTTGATTTTGGGGAGGTTTTGGGGTTGATTTTGGGGGGGATTTTGGGGGATTTTGAGGGTGATTTTGGGGGTGATTTTGGGGGTGATTTTGGGGTGATTTTTGGGGGTTTTGGGGGTCTCTCACCGGGCTGGGGTCCCCAGGATGCGGCTCCAGCGGTTGGTGCTGAAGTTGGGGGTGGTTTTAGGGGGATTTGGGGAGGATTTGGGGATCTCAAAGGGTTGGGGGTCTCAGGGGGTCTCAGGGGGATTTTGGGGTGATTTTAGGGGTGATTTTGGGGGTTTTTGGGGGGTCTCTCACCGGGCTGGGGGTCCCCAAGATGCGGCTCCAGCGGTTGGTGCTGAAGTTGGGGGTGGTTTTAGGGGGGATTTGGGGAGGATTTGGGGGTCTCAGAGGGTTGGGGGTCTCATGGGGGTTTGGGGGTGATTTTGGGGTGATTTTGGGGGGTTTTGGGGGTCTCTCACCTGGGCTGGGGGTCCCCTAAGATGCGGCTCCAGCGGTTGGTGCTGAAGTTGGGTGGTTTGGGGGTTTTTGGGGGATTTGGGGGGATTTGGGGGTCTCAGAGGGTTGGGGGTCTCAGGGGTGATTTGGGGGTCTCAGGGGGTTTTGGGGTTGATTTTGGGGTGATTTTGGGGGGTTTTGGGGGTCTCTCACCGGGCTGGGGGTCCCCAGGATGCGTGCTCCAGCGGTTGGGGCTGAAGTTGGGGGTGGTTTTAGGGGTTTTGGGGGATTTGGGGAGGATTTGGGGGATTTGGGGGTCTCAGAGGGTTGGGGGTCTCAGGGGTGATTTGGGGTCTCAGGGGTGATTTGGGGGTGATTTTGGGGTGATTTTGGGGGTTTTGGGGTCTCTCACCGGGCTGGGGTCCCCAGGATGCGGCTCCAGCGGTTGGTGCTGAAGTTGTAGACCACGAGGTCTCCCAGGGCCTGAGTTCAGGTCCAGCCCTAAAAGGGGGGCAAAAGGGTCCAAAGACCCCCCAGAGACCCCTAAACCTCCCAGAGACCCCCAGAGACCCCCTGAGACCCCCTAGACCAGCAGAGACCCCCAAATCCCCCCAGAGACCCCAAATTCCCCAAAGCTCCCCAAACCCCCAAAGGTCTCCCAGGGCCTGGTTCAGGTCCAGCCCTGAAAAAGGGGGCAAAAGGGTCAAAGACCCCAGAGACCCCCTCAAACCTCCCAGAGACCCCCTGAGACCCCCAGACCCCCAGACCCAGCAGAGACCCCCAAATCCCCCAGAGACCCCCAAATCCCCCAGAGACCCCCCAAACCCCCCCAAAGGTCTCCCAGGGCCTGGTTCAGGTCCAGCCCCAAAAGGAGGGCAAAAGGGGTCAAAGACCCCCCAGAGACCCCTGAGACCCCCAAAACCCCCAAGACCCATAGACCCCCCAGCACCCCAGACCCAGCAGAGACTCCCAAATCCCCCCAAATCCCCCTCAAATCCCCCCAAATCCCCCTAAGCCCCCTTCAATTCCCCCAAACCCCCCTCAAATCCCCCAGGACCCAAAAATCCCAAATAAATCCCAATTTAATCCAAATTAAATTCAAGTTAATCCAAATTAACCCCCAAATCGCCCCAAATCCCCCAACCCCCCAGGACCCAATAAATCCCAACTTAATTCAAATTAAACCCCAGGACCCAATAAACCCCCAATAAATCCCAATTTAATCCAAATTAAACCCCCAGGACCCAAAAAATCCCCAATAAATCTCAATTTAATCCAAATTAAAACCCCCAAATCCCCCCTAGGACCCAAAAAATCCCAATTTAATCCAAATTAAATCCCCCAAATCCCCCCAGGACCCAATAAATCCCAATTTAATTCAAATTAAACCCCCAGGACCCAAAAAAGTCCCCAATAAATCCCAATTTAATCCAAATTAACCCCAATTTAACCCAAATAAACCCCCCAAAGCCCCCCAGACTCACCCCCAATAAGGCGTGAGGGCCCCCATTCTCGGGCAGGACCAGCGCGCCCAAATCCCCCTCAAATCCCCCCCCAAACTCCTCCAAATCCCCCAATCCCCCAGGACCCAATAAATCCCAATTTAATCCGAATCAAATTCAAATTAAATCCCCCAAACCCCTCCCAGGACCCAAAAAATCCCAATTTAATCCAAATTAAATCCCCCACCCCCCAAGACCCAATAAATCCCAATTTAATCCAAATTAAACCCCCCCAGGACCCAATAAATCCCAATTTAACCCAAATTAAACCCCCCCAGGACCCAAAAAATCCCCAAAAACCCCAATTTAACCCAAATGAAGCCCCCAGACTCACCCCCAAAGACGTAGAGGCCCCCATCCCGGGCAGGACGGCGCCGGGCGGCCGGGCTCGCTGAACTGGGGTCCCGAGTCGCCACGTTAGATACCAGGAGACTTCCCCAGGTTGTCCCCCAGGGCCAGGTCGCAGGAGGACCCCAAAAAACCCGGCTGGCACTCGCAGACCCCCGACTCCTGAGGGGCACAGACCCCCGAAATGGGGTCAGGACTCATTTCTGGGGGGGGTTTGGGGTCTTTTGGGGGTCCCCCAGTGGGTCTGGGGGTCCCTCAGATCCAGCCCTGGGGGTTTTGGGGGTCCCTCAGATCCAGCCCTGCAAGTTTGGGGGTCTCCCAGACTCATTTCTCATTCCCTCCCCCCTCAGATCCAGCCCTGGGGGGTTTTGGGGTCTCCCAGTGGGTCTGGGGGTCCCTCAGATCCAGCATGGGGGGGTTTTGGGGTCCCCCAGTGGGTTTGGGGTCTCCCAGTGGGTCTGGGGGTCCCTCAGATCCAGCACTGGGGAGTTTTGGGGTCTCCCAGTGGGTCTGGGGGTCCCTCAGATCCAACCCTGGGGGGTTTTGGGGCCTCCCAGTGGGTCTGGGGGTCCCCTCAGACCCAGCTCTGGGGTTTTAGGGTCTCCCAGTGGGCCTGGGGGTCCTCAGATCCAGCTCTGGGGGGTTTTGGGGTCTCCCAGTGGGTCTGGGGGTCCCTCAGATCCCTCTCGGGGGGTTTTGGGGTCTCCCAGTGGGTCTGGGGGTCCCTCAGATCCAGCCCTGGGGGGTTTTGGGGGTCCCCCAATGGGTTTGGGGTCTCCCAGTGGGTTTGGGGGTCCCTCAGGTCCAGCTCTGGGGGGTTTTGGGGTCTCCCAGTGGGTCTGGGGGTCCCTCAGATCCAGCATGGGGGGGTTTTGGGGTCCCCCAATGGGTTTGGGGTCTCCCAGTGGGTCTGGGGGTCCCTCTGTAGATCCAGCCTTGGGATTTTAGGGAGGTCCCTCGTAGGGCCCAGGCCTGGGGGTTTTGGGGTCTCCCAGTGGGTCTGGGGGTCCCTCAGATCCCTCTCGGGGGGTTTTGGGGTCTCCCAGTGGGTCTGGGGGTCCCTCTGATCCCTCTCTGGGGGGTTTTGGGGTCCCCCCCAGGGCCAGGTCGCAGGAGGACCCCAAAAAACCCGGCTGGCACTCGCAGACCCCCGACTCCTGAAGGGCAGAGACCCCCGAAATGGGGTCAGGGGGGCTCAGGGACTCGGATCTGGGGGGCTTTGGGGTCTTTTGGGGGTCCCCCCGACTCCTCTCGGGGGGTTTTGGGGGTCTCCCAGTGGGTCTGGGGGTCCCTCAGATCCAGCCCTGCAAGTTTTGGGTCCCCCCTCCCCATATCCCCAATTTTGGGGGTCTCCCCTCCCCATCTCTACTATTTTTGGGGGTCTCCTCTCCCCATCTCTCTATTTTTGGGGGTCTCCCCTCCCCATATCCCCAATTTTGGGGGTCTCTCCTCCCCATCTCTCCTATTTTTGGGGGTCTCCCCTCCCCATATCCCCAATTTTGGGGGTCTCCCCTCCCCATCTCTCTTATTTTTGGGGGTCTCCCCTCCCAACTCTCTTATTTTTGGGTGCCCCTGGGTTATTTTGGGGAGGGGTCTCACCTGGTTGCAGGTGCCCCCGGGGGCCCTGCAGTGGTCCTGGCAGTGCCCACCCCCCAATTTCGGGGTTCTCTGGATCATTTTTAGGGGTCTCTGGGTTATTTTTGGGGGTCTCTGGGTCATTTTTGGGTGCCCCTGGGTTATTTTGGGGGGGGTCTCACCTGGTTGCAGGTGCCCCCGGGGGCCCTGCAGTGCTCCTGGCAGTGCCCACCCCCCAATTTCGGGTGCCCCTGGGTTATTTTTGGGGATCTCTGGGTTATTCTGGGTGCCCCTGGGTTATTTTTGGGGGTCTCTAGGTTATTTGGGAGGGGTCTCACCTGGTTGCAGGTGCCCCCGGGGGCCCTGCAGTGGTCCTGGCAGTGCCCACCCCCCAATTTCAGATCCCCCCATCCCATCTCTCTATTTTTGGGGGATCTCTGGATTATTTTTAGGGCTCTCTGGATCATTTTGGGTGCCCCTGGGTTATTTGGGGAGGGGTCTCACCTGGTTGCAGGTGCCCCCGGGGGCCCTGCAGTGGTCCTGGCAGTGCCCACCCCCCAATTTCAGATCCCCCCACCCCATTTTTTGGGGATCTCTGGATTATTTTTAGGGCTCTCTGGGTTATTTTGGGGTCTCTGTGTTATTTGGGGAGGGGTCTCACCTGGTTGCAGGTGCCCCCGGGGGCCCTGCAGTGCTCCTGGCAGTGCCCACCCCCCAATTTCAGATCCCCCCACCCCATTTTTTGGGGATCTCTGGGTTATTTTAGGGCTCTCTGGGTTATTTTGGGGTTCTCTAGGTTATTTGGGGAGGGGTCTCACCTGGTTGCAGGTGCCCCCGGGGGCCCTGCAGTGGTCCTGGCAGTGCCCACCCCCCAATTTTGGGGGTCTCTGAGTTATTTTGGGAGGGGTCTCACCCTGGTTGCAGAGTGCCCATGGGGCCCTGCAGTGGTCCTGGCAGTGCCCACCCCCCAATTTCGGGGATCTCTGGGTCATTTTTAGGGCTCTCTGGATCATTTTGGGGGTCTCTGTGTTATTTTGGGGAGGGGTCTCACCTGGTTGCAGGTGCCCCCGGGGGCCCTGCAGTGGTCCTGGCAGTGCCCACCCCCCAATTTTGAGGATCTCTGGGTTATTTTGGGTGCCCCTGGGTTATTTTCGGGGATCTCTGGGTCATTTTTAGGGGTCTCTGGGTTATTTGGGGAGGGGTCTCACCTGGTTGCAGGTGCCCCCGGGGGCCCTGCAGTGGTCCTGGCAGTGCCCACCCCCCAATTTCAGATCCCCCCACCCCATTTTTTGGGGATCTCTGGATTATTTTGGGTGCCCCTGGGTTATTTTGGGGGTCTCTAGGTTATTTGGGGAGGGGTCTCACCTGGTTGCAGGTGCCCCCGGGGGCCCTGCAGTGGTCCTGGCAGCGGGGGCGGGCGCAGGAGGGTCCCCCCCAGCCCGGGGGGCACCGGCAGAGGCCCTGGGGGTCGCAGAGCCCCCTCCCCGAGCAGCCCCCCGGGCACAGCGAGGCCTCCCAGCTGGCGTTGAAGCCCAGCAGGTTGTAGTTGGCGTCGCTGAACAGGTGCAGCAGCATCTGTTTTTTGGGGGAAAAAAGGGGAAAAAAGGGGATTTTGGGACCCTCAGGAATCGGCACGGGCAACCCCCAAATCCATGAACACCCCAGAGCCCCCCCAAAGACCCCCCAAAGACCCCCCAAAAACCTCCGAAGATGGAGAGACGGCGCCCGACCGGCACTACCCTCGAGTCCCCCAAACCCCCAAAATCCAACAAAACCCCCAAAACCCCCCAAATTGGAACCCCAAATTGCCCTGACCCCCCCAACCCTCCAGACCACCCCAAATCCCCCAAATCCCCCCAAATCCCCCAAATCCCCCAAAGACCCCCAAAAACCTCCGAAGATGGAGAGACAGCGCCCGACCGGCACCGCCCTCGAGTCCCCCAAACCCCCAAAACCCCCAAAATCCCCAAAATCCCCCAAATTGGAACCCCCAAATTCCCTGAGCCCCCAACCCTCCAGACCCCCAAATCCCCTCCAATCCCTCCCAAATCCCCCAAATCCCCCCAAAGACCCCCAAAGACCCCCAAAGACCCCAAAAACCTCCGAAGATGGAGAGACAGCCCCCGACCGGCACCGCCTCAGAGTCCCCCAAATCCCCAAATCCCCCAAACCCCCCAAAATCCCCAATACCCCCAAATCCTCCAGTCCCTCCCAAACCCCCAAATACCCCCAAATCCCCCAATACCCCCCAAATCCCTCCAATCCCCCAAATCCCTCAATCCTTCCAAACCCCCAAATCCCCTATAACTCCCCCAAACCCCCTCAAATCCCCTCAAATCCCCCAAATCCCCCCATTCCCCCCAAACCCCCCAATCCTCCCAAACCCCCCAAATCCTCCCAAATCCCTCCAACCCCCCAAACCCCCAAATACCCCCATAACCCCCAAATCCCCATAATCCCCCAAATCCCCCCAAATCCCCCAAACTCCCTCCATCCCCCACAATCCCCCAGACCCCCTCAAACCCCCCAAAAAGAAAAGCCCCCCAAATCCCCCCCACCTTTCCCGAGGTGGCCTCGAGGGGGGCGGGCAGGGAGCTCCCGCTGAGGGCGGCGAGGAGGGGGCTGCGCGTGGAGCCCCCGTCGTAGACGAACAGGTAATCGTAGGTGCACTCCGTGTCCATGAAGGTGAAGGTCAGGAGCAGCCTGTGACGGGGGCTGGGGGCTGCAGGAGGGACCCCCCAATTGGGGAGGGGTCAGGGGACACCCCCAGAGATTGATTGGGACCCCCAGGGATCGATTGGGATTGATTGGGATCGATTGGGATCGATTGGGACCCCCCAGGAGCACGGGGTGTCCATGAAGGTGAAGGTCAGGAGGAGTCTGTGACGGGGGCTGGGGGCTGCAGGGGAGACCCCCAATTGGGGAGGGGTCAGGGGACACCCCAGGGACCCCCAGGGATTGATTGGGATTGATTGGGATCGATTGGGATTGATTGGGACCCCCCAGGAGCACGGGGTGTCCATGAAGGTGAAGGTCAGGAGGAGCCTGTGACGGGGGCTGGGGGCTGCAGGAGGGACCCCCCAATTGGGGAGGGGTCAGGGGACACCCCAGGGATTGATTGGGATCGATTGGGATCGATTGGGATCCATTGGGACCCCCAGAGACCCCCCAGGAGCACGGGGTGTCCATGAAGGTGAAGGTGAGGAGCAGCCTGTGACGGGGGCTGGGGGCTGCAGGGGAGACCCCCCAATTGGGGAGGGGTCAGGGGACACCCCAGGGACCCCCAGGGATTGATTGGGATTGATTGGGATTGATTGGGACCCCCAGAGACCCCCCAGGAGCACGGGGTGTCCATGAAGGTGAAGGTCAGGAGGAGTCTGTGACGGGGGCTGGGGGCTGCAGGGGAGACCCCCCAATTGGGGAGGGGTCAGGGGACACCCCAGGGATTGATTGGGATTGATTGGGATTGATTGGGATTGATTGGGATCCATTGGGACCCCCAGAGACCCCCCAGGAGTTGCTGTTGACAGAGTAGTTGCCAGGGTGGGTTTGGGGGTCCGGGGTGGATTTGGGGGCAGGTTTTGGGGTCCTGGGGTGGGTTTTGGGGTCCCAGGGATTTGGGGGTGTCTCTGGGGGGTCCCAGGGATTTGGGGGTGTCTCTGGGGGGTCCCAGGGGATTTGGGGGTGGGTTTTTGGGGGGTCTCACCCTCGATGAGCCACTCGCAGTTCCCGTTGACAGAGTAGTTGCCGGGCTGGGTTTGGGGGTCTGGGGTGGATTTTGGTGGGGGTTTTGGGGTCCCAGGGTTTTAGGGGTGTCTCTGGGGGATTTGGGGGGTCCCAGGGGATTTGGGGGTGGGTTTTTGGGGGTCTCACCCTCGATCAGCCACTCGCAGTTGCCGTTGACGGAGTAGTTGCCGGGGTGGGTTTGGGGGTCTGGGGTGGATTTTGGGGGGTTTGGGGTCCCAGGGATTTGGGGGTGGGTTTTGGGGTCCCAGGGTTTTAGGGGTGTCTCTGGGGATTTGGGGGTCCCAGGGGATATGGGGTGTGGGTTTCTGGGGGTCTCACCCTCGATGAGCCACTCGCAGTTGCCGTTGACGGAGTAGTGCCGGGGTGGGTTTGGGAGTCCGGGGTGGATTTTGGGGGTTTTGGGGTCCTGGGGGTCCCAGGGATTTGGGGGGTCCCAGGAGTTGGGGGTGGGTTTTGGGGGTCTCACCTCGATCAGCCACTGCAGTTGCCGTTGACGGAGTAGTTGCCGGGGTGGGTTTGGGGGTCTGGGGTGGATTTTGGGGTCCCAGGGATTTGGGGGTGTCTCTGGGGTCCCAGGATTTGGGGGTCCTAGGGATTTGGGGTGGGTTTTGGGGGTCTCACCTCGATGAGCCACTGCGCAGTTGCCGTTGACGGAGTAGTTGCCGGGGTGGGTTTGGGGGTCTGGGGTGGATTTTGGGGTCCCAGGGATTTGGGGTGTCTCTGGGGGTCCCAGGGTATTTTTGGGGTCCCAGGGGATTTGGGGGTGGGTTTTTGGGGTCTCACCCTCGATCAGCCACTCGCAGTTCCCATTGACGGAGTAGTTGCCGGGGTGGGTTTGGGGTCTGGGGTGGATTTTGGTGGGGTTTTGGGGGTTTTGGGGTCCTGGGGTCCCAGGGATTTGGGGGAGTGTCTCTGGGGTCCTAGGGTATTTTTGGGGTCCCAGGGGATCTGGGGTGGGTTTCTGGGGGTTCTCACCCTCGATGAGCCACTCGCAGTTGCCGTTGACGGAGTAGTTGCCGGGCTGGGTTTGGGGTCTGGGGTGGATTTGGGGGCAGGTTTTGGGGTCCTGGGGGTGGGTTTGGGGTCCCAGGGATTTGGGGGTGTCTCTGGGGGTCCCAGGGATCTGGGGGTGGGTTTCTGGGGGTCTCACCCTCGATCAGCCACTCGCAGTTGCCGTTGACAGGGGTGGGTTTGGGGTCCTAGGGTGGGTTTAGGTGGATTTTGGGGGGTTTTGGGGTTTGGGGGTTCTGGGGTCCCAGGGATTTGGGGGTGTCTCTGGGGGGTCCCAGGGGATTTGGGGGTGGGTTTCTGGGGGGTCTCACCCTCGATGAGCCACTCGCAGTTGCCGTTGACGGAGTAGTTGCCGGGCCCGTCGGTGACGAAGCCGCGGGACCCCCTCAGGACCCTCCTCTGCCCTTTGCAGTCCCCGGCGCCCCCCCCGGGGGGACACCCCAAAAACCACAGGGCCCCCAAAAGCGCCACGGCCCCCACGGGGACCCCCATGGCTCAGGGGGGGGTGGGGTTTTTTTGGGGGAGATCCTGGAGGAAAAAAAAAAGGGGGAAAAATTGGGGTTAGAAAATTGAGGAGGAGACCCCCGAAGAGATTGAAAAGAGACCCCCCAAAAAAACCCCATGGGGACCCCCAAATCGTGCAGGGACCCCCCCCTAAACAACAAAGGGACCCCCCTGAATCACCTCTGATCCACCCAGATCCCCTCAGGACCTCCCAGAGACCCCAAATCCCCTCAGGACACCTCAGACACCCCCAAAACTCCTTCAGATCCCCCAAACCCCTCAGATCCCCCCAGACCCCCTCACGACCCCTCCAGACCCTCCAAGCCCTTGAAACCCCCTCACGACCCCCTCAGATCCCCCTAAACCCCCTCAGATCCCTCCAAAGCCCCTCACAAACCCCTCAGACCCCCAAACCCCCTCAAACCCCCCAAAACCCCTCACGATGCCCTCAGACCCTCCAAACCCTTAAAACCCCCTCACGACCCCCTCAGATCCCCCAAACCCCTCAGATCCCCCAAATCCCCTCAGATTCCCTCAAACCCCTCAGATCCCCAAAGCCCCTCAGATCCCCCAAAACCCCTCAGATCACCCCAAAGCCCCCACGATCCTCAGATCCCCCAAAACCCCTCAGAGCCCCCAAAGCCCCAAAGCCCCTCAGATCCCCCAAATCCCCTCAAGAACCCCTCAGATCCCCCAAACCCCCTCAGATCCCCCAAACCCTCGCCTCAGATCCCCTCAAAGTCCCTCAGACACCCCAAACCCTCTCACGATCCCTCAGACCCCCAAACCCCTCATGATGCCCTCAGACCCCCAAAGCCCCTCAGATCCCCCAAACCCCCTCACGATGCCCTCAGACCCCCAAACTCCCTCATGACCCCCAAAGCCCTCAGGATCCCCTCAGACCCCCAAACCCCTCAGATCCCCCAAAACACCTCAGATCCCCCAAAACCCCCCAAACTCCTCAGATTCCCCAAACACCCTCAGATCCCCCAAACCCCTCACGACCCCTCAGATCCCCAAATAGTCCCCAGATCCCCCAAATCCCCCAAAACGCCCTCAGATCCCCCAAAGCCCCTCACGAAACCCTCAGATCCACCAAATCATCTGAGATCCCCCAAAACCCCTCAGATCCCCCAAAGTGCCCAAACCCCCTCAGATCCCCCAAATCTCCTCACGAACCCCTCAAATCCCCCAAACTCCCTCAGATCCCCCAAACCCCTCAGATCCCCCAAATCCCCTCAGATCCCCCAAATCCCTCACAAGCCCCTCAGATCCCCCAAACCCCCTCAGATCTTCCCAAATCCCCTCAAAACCCCTCAGATCCCCAAACCCCCTCAGATCCCCCAAACCCCTCAGATCCCCCAAATCCCCCACGAATCCCTCAGATCCCCCAAACCCCCTCAGATCCCCCAAAGCCCCTCACGAACCCCTCAGATGCCCCAAAACCCCTCAGATCCCCCAAAGCCCCTCACGAACCCCTCAGATGCCCCCTAAAACCCCTCAGATCCCCCTAAATCTCCTCAGATCCCCCAAATCCTCTCAGATCCCCCAAAGCTCCTCACGATCCCCTCAGATGCCCCCAAACCCCTCAGATCCCCCAAATCCCCTCAGATCACCCCAAATCCCTCAGATCCCCTCAGATCCTCCCCAAACCCCCTCAGATCCCCAAACCCCCTCAGATGCCCCAAAGCCCCTCAGATCGCCCAAACCCCTCAGATCCCCCAAAGCCCCTCACGACCCCTCAGGCTCCCCCAAAACCCCTCAGATCCCCCAAATCTCTCACAGCCCCTCAGAGCCTCCAAACCCTTAAAACCCCTCACGACCCCTCAGACCCCCTCAAGCCCCTTCACGACCCCCTCAGACCCCTAAGCCCCTCAGGACCCCCTCAGATCCCCCAAACCCCCTCAGATCCCCCAAAGCCCCCAAACCCCCTCAGATGCCCCCAAATCCTCACGAGACCCCTCAGATGCCCCCAAATCGCCTCAAATCCCCCAAGCCCCCTCAGATCCCCCAAACCCCCTCAGATCCCCCAAACCCCCTCAGACCCCCAAAACCCCTCAGATCCTCCCAAACCCCTCAGATCCCCCAACTCCCCCGGACCCCCAAATCCCCCAAAGCCCCCTCAGATCCCCTCAGGACCCTTCAACTCCCCAGGACCCCACAAACCCCCAAAGCCCCTCAGATTCCCCCAAAACCCCTCCCCCTCCTCCATCCCCCATCCCTCCCCACCTCCTTCTTTCCCCCTCAGGCCTCGCCAATTCCAGGCCCCGCAAAGGGCCCCGCCCGGGTCCCCGTTAAGGGTTGGAAGGAGGGGGATGGAAAACACTGGGGGTCTCCCCGACGCCCTCAGGACCCCCTGGACCCCCGGGAGGCGCCGCTATGTCGCGATAGAGCCGCGATAGCCGCGATAACCCCTCCCCCCCCACCCTCACCCGCTCGCGGCGGCTCCTCCTGAGGCGGCGGAACGAGGCAGAAGCCTGAGCGAGGGGGCGGGGCCAGCGCGGAGGGCGGGAAAGGCAGAGGGGGCGTGGTCAGAGCCGCGTTGTGGGCGTGGTCAGCGGAGTGGGCGGGGTTAAATGACGGAGGGGGCGTGGCCTCGGCGATTTTTATTTTTAGGGCAAAAAAAAGGGGATTTGGGGGCGTTAAAAAAAAATAAAAAGGAGTGAGGGTGTGTTTTTTTTGGAGCGGTGAGAAAAAAGGGGCCAGTTTGGTGCAGGAGGTCGCAGGGGGTGTGGCCTGATGGGAGGGGGCGTGGTCTGATCCAGCAGAGGGTGTGGCTCGTGCCGTATTTGGGGTCAGTTGGGCGTGGTCTGTGTAGTGGGCGTGGCCTGTGTTGCCTCCTGGGACTGCGTGGTGGGCGTGGTCAATGCGTGTGGGCGTGGCTATCTGCTGTGGGTGGGACCTATTGGGCTTCCTGTCTGGGGGTGTGGTTTACATATGCAAATCAATATGGGAGTGGTTTCCTTTATGGGCGTGGCCTCTGCAATGGGTGTGTGGTGAGCAGTGGGTGTGGCCAGTGTATGTAAAGCGCCGTGTGGGCGTGGTCTATGCCAGTACCACTCCCCCCAGTGGGTGTGGCCTCCATCAGTATTACCCACAGTGGGAGTGGCCTATGCAAATATCCAATTCCCCAGTGGGCGTGGCCTATGCAAATATGCATTCTTTAGTGGGCGTGGCCTGTGTAAATAATCAATCCCGTGGTGGGCGGGGCATATGTAAATACCCATCGCCGGTGGGCGTGGCCCGCGTGAATAACCCACGGTGGGCGTGGCGCGGTCTGCGCGGTGGGCGTGGCCTACGCAAATCTCCGTCCCTCGGTGGGCGTGTCCCGGTCGGTGGGCGTGGCCTGCTCGGGGCTGTCGGGCCGGGGGGCGATGGGGCTGCAGCCGGGGGAGTTCCAGGGGGGCTCCCAGGGCAGAGGGTCCCAGGGGTCGCGGGGGTCCCAGGGGGCTCCCAGCGCTGCCCTGCTGCTGCTGCTGCTGCTGCCGGGGCGGCGCCCAAGTACGTGCGGGGCCGCATCAGCACCAGGAGGTGAGCAGGGGGGCGCAGAGGGCAGCAGGACCCCCCGTGGGCGGTGGGACCCCCATTTAGAGCAGGACCCCCATGGGCGGTGGGACCCCCATTTACACCAGGACCCCCATTTACAGCGTCACCCGTCCCCATTTACACCGGGGACCCCCATTTACACCAGGACCCCCGGGCACCAGGACCCCCATTTACACCAGGACCCCCCGTTTGTAGGACCCCCCATTGACATCAGGACCCCCATTTACCAGGACACCCCCATTTAGCAGGACCCCCATTTACACCAGGACACCCCCATTTGCAGGACCCCCATTTCGCAGGACCCCCCCATTTACACCAGGACCCTCCCATTTGCAGCAGACCCCCATTTACAGGACCCCCATTTACAGGACCCCTCCCCATTTACAGCAGGACCCCCAAATTACACCGGACTCCCCCATTGGCACCAGGACCTCTCCCCATTACACACAGGACCCCCATTTACACCAGGACCCCCATTTACATCCAGACCCCCTCATTTACAGCAGGACCCCCCATTTACACCAGGACCCCCATTGGCACTGGGACCCCCATTTGCATCAGAGCCCCCATTTACAGCAGGACCCCTCATTTACATCAGACCCCCCAATTACATCGAGACCCCCATTTACATCAGACCCCCCCATTTACAGCAGGACCCCCATTTACATCAGACCCCCAATTCAGCAGACCCCCATTTACATCCAGACCCCCATTGGCACTCAGGACCCCCATTTACATCCGGACCCCCAAATTACACCCAATCCCCCCACTGGCATCAGGACCCCCCAAATTACACGGACCCCCATTTACATCCGGACCCCCAAATTACACCCCAATCCCCCATTGGCACTGGGACCCCCAAATTACACCCCAATCCCCCCACTGGCACCAGGACCCCCCCAAATTACGGACCCCCATTTACATCGGACCCCCAAATTACACCCAATCCCCCACTGGCACCAGGACCCCCAAATTACACCCGGACCCCCATTGGCACTGGGACCCCCAAATTACACCCCAATCCCCCGGCACAGGACCCCCAAATACACCCCAATCCCCCATTGGCACCAGGACCCCCAAATTACACCCCAATCCCCCATTGGCACCAGGACCCCCAAATTACACCCAACCCCCCACTGGCACCAGGACCCCCAAATTACCCGGCCCCCATTTACATCCGGACCCCCAAATTACCCTAATCCCCCCACTGGCACAGGACCCCCCCAAATTACACCCCAATCCCCCATTGGCACAGGACCCCCAAATTATGCAGGACCCCCCCGCCCCATTCCCGGGTGGGCCTCCCGTGCCATGTGAAACCCAGGCGCGACCGTTGCCGTGGCAGCACGCGGCATGGATTGGGGGTCATTTCAGGTCGGAGTCATTTTGAGGTCTGGGGAGGTCATTTGGGTCTGGGGATTATTTTGGAGTCGAGGGGTTATTTCGGGTCTGGGGGAGGTATTTTGGGTCTGGGGAGTTTTATTTGAGTCGGGGGTATTCTGAGTCTGGGGGGTTATTTTGGGTCAGGGGTTTATGTTGGGAGTCTGGGGGGTTATTTGAGGTCAGGGGAGGTATTTTGGAGTCAGGGGTTCTTTAACTCAGGGATATTTTATTTTGGGTCTGGGGGTGTCTCTTGCCCCCCCGTGACCCCCATTGCCCCCAGGACTGGGTTTTCCTCACCCGGTTTTGTTCATTGGGGGTCTGGTTGGGGAGTTTATTTTGAGGTCTGGGGGTTTCAGTTGTATCTGGGGGGTTATTTGGGCCGGGGGGTTATTTTAGGTCTGGGGGCTCTTTCTGCCCCCAGTGACCCCCGTGCCCCCAGGACTGGGTTTTCCTCACCCGCTTTTGTTCATTTGGGGGTCTGGTTGGGGGGGTTATTTTGGGGTCTGGGGGGGTTATTTTAGGTCGAGGGGTTCTTTAACTCAGGGGATATTTTATTTTGGGTCTGGGGGCTCTTTCTGCTCCCCGTGACCCCCGTGCCCCCAAGGACTGGGTTTTCCTCACCCGGTTTGTTTATTGGGGAGGGGTATTTTGGGGTCTGGGGGGGTTATTTTTGGGTCAGGGGTTCTTTAACTCCAGGGATATTTTATTTTGGGTCTGGGAGCTCTTTCTGCGCCCCGTGACCCCCATTGCCCCAGGACTGGGTTTTCCTCACCCGGTTTTGTTCATTGGGGGTCTGGTTGGGGGTTATTTTGGGAGTCTGGGGGGTTATTTTGGGTCAGGGCGGTTATTTGTGTTTTGGGGGGGTTATTTTGGGTCTGGGGTGTCTGTTGCCCCCGTGACCCCCATTGCCCCAGGACTGGAGTTTTCCTCACCCGGTTTTGTTTATTGGGGGTCTGGTTGGGGGAGTTATTTTAGGGTCTGGGGGGTTATTTTGGGTCGGGGCGGTTATTTGTGGTCGGGGGGGTTATTTTGGGTCTGGGGGTGTCTCTTGCCCCCGTGACCCCCAGTGCCCAGGACTGGGTTTTCCTCACCCGGTTTTGGTTATTGGGGGGTCTGGTTGGGGGCTTATTTTGGGTCTGGGGGTCATTTTGGAGTCTGGAGAGTTTTATTTGAGTCGGGGGGGTTATTTTGGGTTTGGGGGTGTCTCTTGCCCCCCCGTGACCCCCGTGCCCCCCCAGGACTGGGTTTTCCTCACCCGCTTTTGTTCAGTGGGGGGAGTTTATTTGGGGTCTGGGGGTTATTTTGGGTCTAGGGGGTTATTTTGGGTCAGGGGTTCTTTAACTCCAGAGATATTTTATTTTGGGTCTGGGGGCTCTTTCTGCGCCCCCCGTGACCCCCCCGTGCCCCCCCAGGACTGGGTTTTCCTCACCCGGTTTTGTTCAGTGGGGGGGTTTATTTGGGGTCTGGGGGAGGTATTTTTGGGCCGGGGGTATTTTGGGTCAGGGGTTCTTTAACTCAGGGATATTTTATTTTGGGTCTGGGGCTCTTTCTGCCCCCGTGACCCCGTGCCCCCAGGACTGGGTTTTCCTCACCCGCTTTTGTTTCCTCTCCGATTTCAGGCGCCTCGATTTCCATTTCCGCTACTCCGAGGTGAGGGGGCTCCAGGGGGAGGGTAAAACCCGGGGGTCTCCCCACCCTGGGAGCCCCTGACCCCCTGACCTCCCGGACCCCCAGTCAAGTGTTGCCCAGAACATTCTGCTCTCTTCGACGACCCCTCCCAGTGGCCCGCGGTCTACGGGAGGGCGGGGCAAGGTGGGCTGGGGGGGATTTCAGGGGGTTTGGGGGGTTTGGGGAGGATTTGGGGGAGTTTGGGGATTGGGGAATGGGGGTTGGGGGTTTTGGGGGGGATTTTGGGGGGGTTGCAGGGGATTTAGAGGGAGTTATGGGGGATTTGGGGGTCTTGGGGGGATTTGGGGGGGTTTGGGGGGTCTGGGGGGGTTGGGGGGGGTTGGAGGGGTTTTTGGGGTCTGGGGGGGTCCTGATTTTTGGGGGTCCCCAGGACTGCCTGCCCAAGGAGTCCTGGGGGTTTTGAGGAGTATTTTTTTCGAGGGGGTCCCTGATTTTAGGGTCCCCAGGACTGCTCTGGCCAAGGAGTCCCAGGGGAGTCCCTGGGGTGTATTTGGGGGTCCTGGGGTGTATTTAGGGGTATATTTTGGGGGGGTCCTGATTTTTGGGTCCCCAGGACTGCCTGGCCAAGGAGTCCTGGGAGGAGTCCCTGGGGTGTATGTTGGGGGGGTCCCTGAGGTTTTTGGAGTCCCCAGGACTGCCTGGCCAAGGAGTCCTGGGAGGGGTCCTAGGGTGTATTTGGGGGTCCCTGGGGTGTATTTGGGGGGTTTTTGGGGGTATTTTTGGGGGGTGGTCCCTGATTTTGGGGTCCCCCAGGACTGCCTGGCCAAGGAGTCCCAGGGGTCCCTGGGGTGTATTTTGGGGGGGTCCCTGAGGTTTTTGGGGTCCCCAGGACTGCCTGGCCAGGAGTCCCGGGGGTCCCTGGGGTGTGTTGGGGGTCCCTGGGGTGTATTTGGGGGGTCCTGATTTTGGGGTCCCCAGGACTGCCTGGCCAGGAGTCGAGTGATCCGGCCCGGAGAACAACCAGGTCATCAACCTCACCACGCAGTACCCCTGGTCGGGATGCCCAGGTCTGGGGGGGCCTGGGGGGGCCTGGGGGGGTCCTGGGGGCGTTATTTGGGTCTGGGGGTGTTTTTGGGGGGTTCTGGGGTCCTGGGGGGCTGCAGGGATCCAACCTCACCACGCAGTACCCCTGGTCGGGATGCCAGGTATGGGGGGGGCCTGGGGGGGCCTGGGGGGGTCCTGGGGGGTCCTGGGGGGTCTGGGGGGTTATTTGGGGGGATTTGGGGGGGATTTGGGGGGTTTTGGGGTCCTGGGGGGCTGCAGGGATCAACCTCACCACGCAGTACCCCTGGTCAGGATGCCAGGTATGGGGGGGTTTATTTGGGTCTGGGGGGTATTTGGGTCTGGGGGGTTATTGGAGGATTTGGGGTGTTTTGGGGTCCTGGGGGGGCTGCAGGGATCAACCTCACCACGCAGTACCCCTGGTCGGGATGCCAGGTCTGGGGGGGCCTGGGGGGGTTATTTGGGTCTGGGGGTGTTATTTGGGTCTGGGGGTGTTATTTGGGTCTGGGGTGGGTTATTTGGGTCTGGGGGTGTCATTTTGGGTCTGGGGTCTCGGCTTAGGTGGTGCCGGGGGCTCCTGAGCTGCTCGAGCGGCCAGGGGGTTATTTGGGGATATATCAGGATCTGGGGGGTTTATTTGGGTCTGGGGGTGTTTATTTGGGTCTGGGGGTGTCCTGGGGGTGTCATTTGGGTCTGGGGTCTCGGCAGGTGGTGCCGAGGGGGCTCCTGAGCTGCTCGAGCGGGCGCGAGTTTCCGCTCGGTGCTTGGGAGCGCTGGTGGTACGTGGCCCTCAGCAAGTGCGGGGTGAGTGCAGACCCCTCCCCAAAAACACCCCCAAAACCCCCCCAAAAACCCCCCCAAAAGCCTCCAAAAAATCAAAAAACCCAAAAATCCAAAAAACCCAAAGCCCCTCCAAAAACCAAAAGAATCCAAGAAGCCCCAAAAACCCCTGAAACCACCAAAAAAACCAAAACCCCCAAAAAAACCAAAAACCAAAAAACTCTAGCCCCCAAAAACACTAAGAAAAACCCTCAATCCCCCAAAAACACAAAAAACCAAAAAAAAACCCAAACTCCCCAAAAAACCCCCAAAAACCAAAAACCACGATGACCCTAAGCTCAAACCCTCCAAAGACCCTAAAAAAACCCCAAAGAAAATCCCCAAAACCCCCAAATCCACCCAAAAATACCCAAAAATACCGAAAAAAATCCAAAAAATCCCCAAACCCCAAAAACCCCAAAACCCCCAAAGCCCCAGCCCCCAGAGATGGCCTGGAGCTGGAGTGCGAGATGGTTCTGACCAACAGGAAAACCCCAAACCCCCCAAAAAACCCAAAAATCCTAAAAATCCAAAAAATCCAAAACCCCAAAAAACCCCAAAAACCCAAAATTTTCCCCAAATCCCCCAGGGAGACGGCCTGGAGCTGGAGTACGAGATGGTTCTGACCAGCAGGGAAAACCCCCAAAACCCCCAAAACCCCCCAAAACCCCCCCAAAACCACCCCAAAAAATCCCTAAAAAATCCCAAAAAATCCCAAAACCTCAAAAAACCCCAAAAACCCCAAAATTTTCCCCAAAACCCCCCAGGGGGACGGCCTGGAGCTGGAGTACGAGATGGTTTTGACCAACGGGGAAAAGCCCCAAAACCCCAAAACCCCCAAAAAAACCCAAAAAATCCCTAAAAAATCCAAAAAAATCCCAAAACCCCCAAAAACTCCCAAAAAACCCCAAAATTCCCCCTAAACCCCCCCAGGGGGATGGCCTGGAGCTGGAGTACGAGATGGTTTTGACCAACGGGGACTCGTTCTGGACCCGACACTTCTCGGCTGACGAGTTCGGTGAGGGATTGGGGTCAGGGGGTTTATTTGGGGTCTGGGGGTGCTGATTTGGGGTCTGGGGGTGCTGATTTGGGGTCTGGGGGTGCCGATTTGGGGTCTGGAGGTTTATTTGGGGTCTGGAGGTTTATTTGGGGTCTGGGGGCGTTTATTGAGGTCGGGGGTGTTATTTTGGGGTCTGGGGTGTTCGATTTGGGGTCTGGGGGTGTTTATTTGGGTTCTGGGGTCGTTTATTTGGGGTCAAGGGCATTATTTGGGGTCAGGGGGGCTGATTTGGGGTCTGGAGGGTTATTGGGGTCAGGGTTATTGGGGTCTGGAGGGTTTATTTGGGGTCTGGGGTCGTTTGTTTGGGGTCTGGGGTGTTATTTGGGGTCTGAGGATTATTCGGGGTCTGGGGGGTTATTTGGGGTCTGGGGGGTTATTTGGGGTCTGGGGGTTTATTTGGGGTCCAGGGTTGCCCTGACGACTTTTGGGGGTCTCCCATCCCCAAACCCCCAAACCCCAAAAATCCCCCCCCAAAAAAGGCATCCTGGAGACCGACATCACCTTCCTGCTCATCTTCCTCCTCATCTTCCTCCTCTCCTGCTACTTCGCCCGTGAGTGGGGCATGGGGGGATTTTATTTGGGGGTCTCAGGGGTCTAGGGGTCCCTCCTGACCCCCTGACCCCCTGACCCCCTGACCCCCAGAGCTGCTGAGGGGCGGCAGCTCCTCCACCCCCGAGATGTTCCTGCCCATGGGGGTTTATTTTATTTGGGGGTTTATTTTGTTTTGGGGGGTATTTTATTTGAGGGGGTCCCAGGGGTCAGGGGTCCCTCCCTGACCCCCTGAGCCCCCAGAGCTGCTGAGGGGCGGCAGCTCCTCCAACACCCCAAGATGTTCCTGCCCATGGGAGGATTTATTTTATTTAGGGAGTATTTTTTGGGGGGGTTATTTTATTTGGGGGGGTCTCAGGGGGTCGGGGGTCCCCCTGACCCGACCCCCGACCCCCAGAGCTGCTGAGGGGCGGCAGCTCCTCCACCCCAGGATGTTCCTGCCCATGGGGAGTTATTTTATTTGGGGGAGTTATTTTATTTGGGGGTCCCAGGGGTCTGGGGTCCCTCCTGACCCCCTCAGCCCCACCCCCAGAGCTGCTGAGGGCGGCAGCTCCTCCACCCCCAGGATGTTCCTGGCTATGGGGGATTATTTTGTTTTGGGGGGTTATTTTATTTAGGGGGTTATTTTATTTGGGGTCCCGAGGGGTCAGGGGTCC